TCCTCCTGTCTGGTTATGCTAATCTAACATAAATGGCACAAAATTTGGAGGCTAATTTCCCTATGTTAAGAAATCGATGTAGACATTATCTGTTACATACTGAGTTGAGGGACTCAGCATACAACTTATTATATTTATGGGCCAATTTTCATCAAAAAGTAACACCTTCTAGGCAGCTAGTAAGAGAATTAAGCCAAGGTTTTGAACAATTTGTTTGTTGCCAGTATTCTCTACTCTAATGGGCAGTGGTTCTCTAGGGTCTAAAGCCTCAGAGGTATTTCACACCAACAGCAATCCAGTTCTTTTTTAAACAATAGGGATGCCTTGAATAAGATGTGTCTACAAATGCTCAGCCTCTGACTTATGTCTCCCTTCTATGTAATACATGTATTTTCTAAATTAGCTCCATGTCAGAAGAAACAAATACAAATCTTTAAATTTCCATATTTTTAAGGAAATATGTTTTATTTTTGGACTTAAAATGTTGAGAAATTTTACATCTCTATTCCACAGTAAAAGGAGTCCAAGTAACTAGACTCATTTCCTACAATGAATGAGCCAATGAAAGCAAAGAAGAGACTAATTTCTCTCCTTTCTGGAGGAAAAAATACTAAACCGACAAGGTCAAAATAGCTGCTTTAATATTTCTGGTCTTTGGGAATGTTTGTTTTAAATTTCTATACTTAAATTCTGTTCCATCATTTTACATTTATTTTCTGCCACTAGTGATACTTTTAAAGTAGCCTGATTTTGGAAGAATATATACTCATATCTTTATAAAAAATAAAATAAAGAAAAATCTTAAGGCCAAAATCCAGTAGTCTACTACTCTCCTACAACCCTTGCGATGCCTCTTATCCTGCAACACAATGTTGAACTGTAAACATGTACTCTGGAAGTTTCGGGCTCACCTGGAACAGGTTCATAAGCTTTCCACATAGGAATGATTTGAGACAATTTTCAATATTTTTTCTCTATTACTAGTACTACACTGCAATGAAAAGTGTACTCTTCCTTCAAATTTCATGTGTGAACATTTCATCATATTACATGTTTCAGAATGGGAAAGCAAGTGGGGGCCTTCTTAAGAGGCTGCTCCCATGTTGCATTTAGTGTCAAGGACAATTTCCAAACTGAGGCAGAACAAGGTCCATGATAATCAGCAGCCATACTTGACAGGTGTGAAAAATGCTGAATCATGCAGTCTGGGATGATGCAATGTCCCAGAAGAAGAAGAAAAAAGATTGTTGAAAGAAGAAAAAAGGAATGAGAGGTCCCAAGTCAGAATGAGAAATTACATCCCACAGCAGAGAGCTGCTTCCAGGAGCTGCTTCCAGGTGCTTCGAAACTCAGCTATATGAGCCTGACGAATGGAGAGAAATCATCAGTAATGGGAGAGAGAACAATTTACACTACAGACAGGTTTGCAAAGGGAATTACATGGTGTATTGCATGTGCCCAATTTAGACTGTAATATCCTAAGTGTCTCATGTTTGGACAAGAAGGGGTTTACAGTTACATTTCCTGATAGCACATGTGTAATTAAGATAGAGAACAGGATATGTGCCACAACAAAACTTGAAAATAATTTATATGTACTGAAGGGAAGAACACAAAACAATGCAACACATGCCATAGTCAAAAACACCCCCCCACACACACACACACGACAAGTGTGCTCATTTGATGCACAGGAGACTGGGTCAAGCTAATTTCAGAGTGGTGGAAAAAATGCAAAGGATAGCAAAAGGTTTGAAAATGAAACCCAATAAGAATTTTCTGGATTGCGATGTATGCAAAGTTGCAAAGTCAAAGGTCCAAAGAATAAGCAAGGAAAGAACAGGCAAACACAAGAGGCCTTTCCATTCAGATATAATAGGGCCTCTGGCACCATCTATGGGAGAAACTAAATATGTTTTAATCTTGGTGGATGACCACACACATTTCTCCTGCTTTCTCATGAAAAATAAGGCAGAAGTGTTTGATCATTTCAGGGCATGGGTGAACATTGTGGAAAGACGTTATGGCCAGAAGGTGGGCCAGTTGCAGACAGATAGAAGGTCTGAATTCATGTCTGGAAACTTCCGGACATGGCTGACAAAGATACATCACAGAAAAACAAGTCCCTATTCTCCATTTCAGAATGGTGTGGCAGAACGCAGGAATAGAGCCCTGCAAACCATGAAAGACGCCCTGTTAGCGGATGCTAACATGAGTAATCTGTACTGGGAGAAGGCGTTTCAGACGACTAACTACATAGTTAATAGAATTTAATCTTCTGCCATAGAACAGACCCCATATTTCATGTTATATGGCAAAGAACCTTCCATGCAGCATATAAGAGTGTTTGGATGCAGTGCCTGGGTGCACATTCCAAAAGAAACGAGGAGAAAGGGGAGACCAAAAGTCAAGAAAATGAGGTTTCTGGGGTATGAAAAAGGGTCTAAAGCATATTCTTAGATGGAAAGAGAAATGTGGTTATTTCCAGATCAGCCAATTTCTGTGAACACGAAAAATGGGACAAGGTTCATGCAAACTCAGAAGTGTTCATACCTATAAACAATGGTGAAAAATCTCAGGAAATAGAGGTGGTTCCAAAGCAAGAGGCTGAAGGAAGCTCAAGTCCCAGCAGCTCAGAGGAGGAGGATGGGGAATGTAGTGAGAAAGAGAGTCAGCCTGTCATTAAAGAAGAACCAGAGGCTCCCAGAAGGCCAGAAAGCTCTAACAAAGGAATATCTCCATCAAGGCTTGGTGTGGTGGAAATAAGTTTGTCACGTGTCCCATGAACCTATGAAGAGGTGTTGCTTCCGCCTCAGGCAGAGAAAATGAAATGGCAACAAGCCATGAAAGAAGTTACAATCCATGGATGACCACAGAGTGTTTACAGAAACCACATTGCCAACAGAACATAAAGCAATTGGAAGCAAATAGGTCTACAAAAAAAATGCAGATCAATGGGGAATACAGGTACATACTTGTAGCCATACTTGTAGCCGAGGGATATACACAAAGAAAAAATGTACACTATGATGAGGTTTTTTTCCCCAACAGTAAAGGCAGAATCTTTGAGGAGTTCAAATTCAGAAAAAAAGACAATGGTTATGTCCTAAATCAGAGATTAAAGACAGAGGAAATGCTAATAAAATACAACATGCAGGACTGTAAGTGTACAGCACCCATGACAGTAGATTTTCAAAAGCCACAGGATGAAAGCAAAGAGTTTGAAGAACAAGAAGTGTACCAATCAGGAATTGGAAGTTTACAATATCTAGCAAATTGGCAAATTGGACAAGGCCACATATTGCTGTAGTGGTCAATATTCTCAGTAGGCATACTGCAAAGCCAACACAGAAACACTGGTTGGGATGAAAAGAATATTTAGATACCTAAAAGGTACCCCTGACACATGTTTATTAATACAACCCTCTAGTGATTTAAAATTAAAGGTTTATGTAGATAGTGATTGGGCCAACAACATAGTTGACAGGAAATCAGTATCAGGTTTCACAGTAAAGTTAGCTGAGACATTGGTGGGATGGAAATCAAGAAAGCAAAGTTCCGTTGCCACATCCACTGCTGAGGCAGAGCTTGCTGCTCTTTCAAAAGTTTGCTCAGAGCTAGTGTGGTATAAGCAGTTGCTTATAGATCTAAAAATTAAAGTAGATCAGGCCATAACAGTGTTTGAGGACAACACCACATGTATACAAGATGGCAACCACAGAAAAAATGAGAAGTAGAAGAAAGCACATTGATATTAAATATCACAATGGTAGAGAGGCAGTAAAAGAAAAACTAATTCAACTGCAGCATTGTGAAACAGAAAAGAATGTACTGTAGCAGACATTCTAACAAAACCACTGAATGTGCAAAGACACAGAACTAACTGAAGAATTGGGAATACGTTCTGCTCAAGTAAATCAGCAGGGGTGTCAAGGATAGTTTCCAAACTGAGGCAGAACAAGGCCTATGATAATCAGCATCCATACTTGACAGGTGTGAAAAATGCTGAATCACGCAGTCTGGGATGATGCAATGTCCACACTGATTGGCTGTGCATGTGTATAACTGTGGAGATGTGGAGATGTATGGATCTCTTCTAATGAATGTCATGCTGCCAGTTTGTACTGCTGAACTTCTGTATATATTGTAAATATAGTTGGAGTTGGAAGAAGCTGTCTTTGTCTGTGTGATTCAATTAGACTGCCTGGACTGCTAACTCACAACATTTAGTTTGTTTCCATCCCTTTAATTTTTTGGACATCTGAATGAGGCAGGCTTTTATGAACCAAATTAGGCAAGACCGAGTCCTTTCTGGATGCAGCGCATATGTTCAAATATGTTTTTAAAGCTTTTAAATGTTAGATTTTTATTACAATCGTATGTTTAATTCTTTTACAACTTCTAATTCATCTTGATTTTTAAATCTAATTTATTTGAATTCACTTGTGAGCTGCCTTGGTTCCCCTCAATTAGAGAAAAGCAGCACAGAAATAAAACAAATATATTATATTTGTGCAAGATAAACAAAAACAGAGCTGGATAAATAAACCTCTATCTGTGGAACTCTTGACATGGAGAAAGAAATGAATGAGAAGTAGAACAATCACAGTAGAACTGGTACACATGGTTTTTCTTAAAGTATGTCTCATCTCTAAGAATTTGAGAGACCAGCAATGCTCTCTATCCTTTATTACGTGACAGTACAAAGAAGCAAACTTTAGATCATAAAATGGTGCATAAAAATATGAGAAGCTGAAAAAGATCAGTTAAGAGCATTATCATCATTACCATGAAACTGTGGCTCCAATATATCAATTGCAGAATGTTAAAACAATAAAATATTTCCAACAATCTCATCAATGGGATGAGAAACAAAGCCACATAAAGTGATATAGTTATGTAACAAAGGGGAAAATTCTGTTAACAAGATGATTATAGTTCTGTTTTGTCAGATGCTAGAAAAGCATTCAGTGGCCAATTTAGCTAAAAGTTCTACTCACGTTATCCATGAAATTTGGCTTAAATCCTCCTTCCTGCTGCCTCCTCAATTCCTCCTGTTCTCTTTGGCGCAGCATCTCTTCTTCACGCCGTCTGTGCTCCTCTTCATGTCTGGAGATTGTGTTACACAATACATATTTTTAAAATATTTACTACATATTTAAAATATACAAATACAAGTTCTTATAGTAAGTTAAAAGACCTTTGCTGAAATCTTGCTATGTGAGACCGATTACATCCCTTGGAGGGGCTGATTTGGGGGAATTACAATATTGATTTTTAGTGCTTATAAGACTTCCTTCTCTCATCCCATTGCTCCCACAGCTTGCACACAATGTAAAGGATTTCATGGGAGCAATAGGAGCTGCAGGACAAAAGTAGGAAACAATTTCCAAAACTCACCCCCACTAATGATGTCATCAACCTTCAGGAATTGTAATTATGTTAACAGGATTTCAGCCAAGTTCTTACAAATCTTACAACGGTTAAAATCCTTTTTGCTAAGTGTGGTAAGTTGCACCAGAGTAAGTCCATTGAATCAGTGGAGATTTGGTGAGTCATCTTTTCCATATGTTCCACTAGTTGAAACAGGACTACTCAAGTTATGACTTATTTTTGTGTAAATAATCACAACTAGAGTAGACCCATTTGAATCACAAAATTTACAAATGAGTCGACTCCCCAAATCACCATTGATTCAATGGGCCTACTCTAGTACAATTTACTACACCAAATAACAAGGTTTCAGTCAATGGGTAACAAATCATAAACAAATAACTACCTCAAAAGATAATTTTATTATAATTATGCCAAAGATTACAAATTCCCTAGAAATTCATGCTTGTATATTTTGTTAAGTACAAATGGGAATTTAATACAGAAAACTGGATTCCAGATTTTTCTCAATCAGACAAGTATGTTGTTTGAATCAACTTCCAACTGGAGCCAATGCACATTTTCATGCCAAAAAGCCATCTTCTCCCAAGTTTTCTCATATACACAGCTTTTAGTCTAACAACATATCCTAGACATTCTTTTCTTCTCTGGCCACCATCATATTTCAATACCATCCAAAATGTCATGACACTTTGTGAGAAACTCCAGAACTACTATAAATACTCTAGTTATTATTGTAACTAAAACAATACACAGTTATAACCAATGCTACACCATCCAAATAATGTCAAGGTAATTTGCAGCTACTAATACCATCTCTGATCTCTGGCACTGTAACAAAATATAGAGAATTAAAAGAAAAATCAACACCAGCTGAATTTTGTATGTTTTACAGGGGGAAATGGGCTAATTTAACTTTTTAAATGAAATCCTTTTGATTCATAAAATCCTGTACTGCACACAATTACAAATGACTAGCTTGGTCTACAGACATACCTCAGTTGTATTTGCTTCCGCTTCTGCAGTTCTTGATTTCTAAGTTCCTCTAGGCGTCTCAATTCCTCCTGACGCCTCATAAGATCTGTTAAAATTAACAGCACGTTATCAATTATCATTTTAACAAAAACGAGAATACATCTGAAAATACAGACTACCGGAATAACCCACAGTACTAAGCTATCTGAATTTCAGAAGTATCTTTTAATTAACTATCATTTATACCCAATTACTACTGCATTTCATCTCCCAAAAATAGTAGTTACAAGTTTGCCACTTTGAATTCTTTAGAAAAGATAATCTATGACAGCATAACAACGAATTTCTAATTCTAGTAAGTAACTAATAAAAGGCTAAAAACTTTCCTTGTATGGAACCCATCATTTGTGGGTCATGAGGTAGAAGACAAACTGTGTTTCTTGGCTAAAAGAAGCTAAAATGTCCTGTCAAGTGCCATACTACAGTAAGCTCTTGTACTGGCCAACATGCTTGGTGAATCTCTCTGCTTGTGGCATATACAATTGAGAAATGTAAAATAAAATTCAGAAAGACCCTGGACATAGATTTCCTATTGTAACACAGAGGGCTTACTAGACAATTTCCAATACTCTTTCAGTTTAAGCAATAAATGAATTATACAGAATACCTTGTCTCATCAGCATTAACTGATGCTCATGACGAGCTGCTTCCATTTCTGCCTCCAGTTTCTCCTTAGCTTCCCTAATGTTTCTATCAACTTGTTCCCGCTGTTGCTTTTCCATTTCATCAAGAGCCTTCCATCGTGAAGCATACTCAAATTCAAACGTTCCAGGTTGGGCAAAACGTGGTGGCTGTTCTCTTTCCCTAACAGGACAACACATTTCACATGAATAGAAATCCTGTATATGAATGCATCAGACATATGCAAACAATTAAACTGCAACTCCTCTTTGTGTGTTTCTATTTATTTCACTGGTGATTTAGAAATCAAACAGGATTTGATGGCATCAGTTCTGTGTGTTTATCACAGCTGCACAAAGCAGAAATGGGTGTGGAAAGCCTTGAAAACAAAGCCTCATAAACATGAGGCGTGTAAAGTTTTTCTTTTGCTAAAAGCTTGCCAAACCTGAACATACATTTCTAATTTCTTATCCTCTAGTCAAGAAGGACCCTAAATGAGCAAACAAGGAAGGCAGGAATGAACAGAAGTCATCCTCAGCAACTGCCATCTCTTTCTGAACAGAACAGAAAAACCAATCCCGACTGAACCCACACAATCTTGAATGAAAAGGCATGCAGTAGCAGCAGTATATCAGTGTCCAGGCTGAACAAGGATAAGCTAATATGCCATTAATGGAAGGGAACTCACCTTGCCACAAACTTGGAACTGACCCTATCTCTTTGTTTCTAATCCAAGATGTTTCTAAAAGTTGTAACTGCACAGGGAATGCTGGACCTTTTGCTCATATTTACCCACCAGTTCTCACTTTTTTATTGCCACAAAGACAGCATTTCACTCATGCCTGGACTTTCCTTCTTTCCATATTCTGTGATACAGTATTCTACCAATCCATTTGAAATAAAACATAGCATACAATGTTTTCTCATATTGCTGTTACTAATACTAGCAGTAATGCTTTTAAATAAATTTTCATTTCTTTTAATTAATGTTTTCTTCTTCTGTTACTTCTCTTTAGTTTATAATATACTACAGTATGAATGAATACTTACTTATGATATTGTTGTGTTTTTTGCATTAGTTTTTCAGGCAGCCCATCCTCATCATCAAATTGCTCCATTGGTTCTACAATAACAGGTCGAGGAGTTCTAAAAACACATATATACACACACATTGTTAACAGATTAGCCACAATGCTGTAAAACAAAATATACAACATTAATGTTAATATATACAACAAACATCACAGTTTAGTACAGTTTTTCCGGTGGAACAGTTTACACTACACCAAGACTGTTCACAGTACACAACAAAAAGAGTTACTGATTGCATACTACTGAAATTAAAACACAAAAAACAAAATAGATAAAAATGAATAGGCTCAGTCAGTTCTATGACTGTACATATTTAAAAATCTTATCAACATAGACATTTCTCTTCTATCTGTCAAACAACACTAATAGGGACATAGTATACTCCTATATTCCCAATCCTTCCTTTTTAAGAGTTGAGGAAGCACAAGATAACTCTTTGCTCACTAGAATGTACAATTTCTGTGTATGACTGAGGCAAGCAAGTACGAACTCAAAGTCAACACAAAATGGTCAAGACCATCAAATAAGCTATGTACAGCATGTCATTTTTTCTAAAATAATAACATTTATGATACAAGTGAAATTCAAAAACATGCCAGCCATAGTGGGTGTGGAGTGGGCAGAAGCCTCCTATGCTGGCTCATCTCAGATCCATTGGCAAAACTGAGTCTGCTAGCAGAACTGCGATATTTATTGAGACTAGCTAGCAGAATAGACCAAAAAAAGAGGGCAGCAAAGGGAAAGAAAGAGAGAATCTAAGTTATTACAAAGCTAAATTTTTCTCATAGTAGGCCTAGCCACTATGCTGGCATGAAGTTAGACCCATTCTAGATAACTTTATATACAATTTTTCCGGGGGGAGGGGTTAATTTTTCCCTGTTTTTTTCTGGAAAAAATGGAAATTTTCTCTCTAGTTGTTATTATATGCCATCAAGTTGCTTCCAACATATGGTAAACTTAAGAATTTAATAACAATAGAACTTTCTGGAGGTCAAGAATCCCACAATGGTCTCGCAAACGCTGTGGCTTCCTTTCTTGAGTCTTAAAATCATGACGTTGGAAGGGGCCTATAAGGAGATTGAGTCCAATCCCCTTCTCAATAAATGAATCCAAATCAAAGTATATTTTACAGATGGCTGCCCAATTTTCTCTTGAAAGCCTCCAATTTTGGAGCACTTGCCACCTCCCAAGGTCACTGGTTCCACTGTCATACTGCTCTAACAGTTACGAAGAGTAGACATGGTCTAGAGGGGCGGGGTAAAAATCAAATAAATAAATAAATAAATTTTCCTAATATTTAGCCTAAATCTGGTTTCCTGTCACTTGAGCCCATCGTTGCATGTCCTACATTCTGGGATGATCGAAAACAGATTCTGCCCCTCCTCTGTATGACTACTTGCTATCGGATCTCCCCTTAGCCATTTTTTCTCAAGGCTAAACACACCCAGTTCTTTCAGCCTTTCTTCATAAGGCTTTGTTTCCAATCCCATGATCATCCTTGTTGCCCTCCTCTGAACTTGCTCCAGTATGTACGCATCCTTCTTAAAGTATGGTGTCCAGAACTGAACACTGTACAGTGGTGCCTCGCATAATGGGCACCCCGTTTAACGATGAATCCGCATAGCGACAATGTTTTTGCGATCGCTTTTGCGATCGCATAACGATGTTTACTATGGGGGGAATCGCTTTGCAATGATCAGTAAGCTGTTTCGCTTACCAATTTTCGCACAGCGATTTCCCCCCAGCTGATCAGCTGTTCCAAAATAGCCGCCGGGTAAAACAAGGACGGATACCTCGCTTACCAGGCAGCTAAAATGGCTGCTGTATGGAGGATTTTCGCTTAAAAGGTAAGTTTTAAGCCCATAGGAACGCATTGAAGGGGTTTCAATGCATTCCTATGGGCTTTTTAATTTCGCAATCCGCATAGCAACTATTTTTGCTGCACGGATTATTGTCGCTGTGCGGGGAACCACTTGTACTCAAGCTGAGGTCTAACAAGTGCTGAATAGAGGGGTACTAGTACCTCACCAGATTTGGAGATTATACTTCTGTTAGATGGCTCATATTCAGCTTTTGTTCTATAACAATTCCAATATTGTTTTCACTCATAGAAATAAGTAACCTCCATTTTATAATCCCCCCTACAGAACTTTGCACATCCCTGTTAAATTTCATTTTGTTTTTTTCAGCCCAGTGCTCAAGCCTAATACCTTTTTTAATTTTGTTTCTGTGTTCCTGGGTATTAGCTATTCCACCCAGTTTTGTGTCATCTGCAATTCTGAAATGCATTCCCTGGACCTCTCAACCAAGCCATGAATACAAATGTTGAAGAGCACTGGGCCCAAGACTGAGCCTTGTGGTACCCCACTTGTTACCTCTTCCCAGCTTGAGATGGAGCCATTGATAAGCACACTTCGAGTACGATTCTGTAACCAACTGTGTACCCACCTAACACTTGTTCTATCCAGCCCACAACTAGTCCCATGGTATACTGCTAATCAGAATATTATGAGGCACTGTCAAAAGCTTTGCTGAAGTCAGGATATATTACATCTACAGTATTCCCACCATCTACCAAGGAGGATCAAAAAATGAGACAAGATTAGTCTTGTAGGATTTTTCTTGACAAATCCATGTTGGTTTCTAGTTATTACTGCACTATGTTTAAAGTGCTTGCAAGTGTTTGTGTGTTGTGTTTAGTCATTTAGTCGTGTCCGACTCTTCGTGACCCCATGGACCAGAGCACGCCAGGCCCTCCTGTCTTCTACTGCCTCCCGGAGTTGTGTCAGGTTCATGTTGGTTGCTTCGCAGACACTGTCCAGCCATCTCATCCTCGGTCGTCCCCTTCTCCTCTTGCCATCACACCTTCCTAACATCAAGGTTTTTTCCAAGGACTCTTTTCTTCTCATGAGATGGCCAAAGTACTGGAGCCTCAGCTTCAGGATCGGTCCTTCCAGTGAGCACTAAGGGTTGATTTCCTTTAGAATTGATAGGTTTGTTCTCTTTGCAGTCCAGGGGATTCTCAAGAGCCTCCTCCAGCACCACAATTCAAAGGCATCAATTCTTCGGCGGTCAGCTTTCTTTACGGTCCAGCTCTCACTTCCATACATCACGACAGGAAAAACCATAGCTTTGACTATTCGGACTTTTGTTGGCAAGGTGATGTCTCTGCTTTTCAAGATGCTGTCA